ATTCCCGGAGATTAGCAGAAATTTCTATAGAATCGGAGTAACAAAAAGCATCCATACTATTATTGGTGGAAAAATTGTTGATGTTTATAAATAAGGAAAATCTGTTTTTTTCTTTAAAAACCCAATTATTAGATAAAACTATTCTATTAATGTATTCAATGAAACGTAGCAGGGGAAATTACATAACCAGTGCTTTATTCTTGAATGGCATTTGACATTTTCTAAGAGTTAAGAACTTGACTTCACATTTTGTTCACATAGTTTGTTGGTGTGATTTGCCAGGTGTTTGGGAAGCAGCATGGAAAACATTCTACCACAGAGAACATTAACTGTTGCTTTATTCAGATGGGAATATAATCTTTTAGAACGGTATACATGGACCCTGGAAAATGTAGCTAGTTTTAGTAGTTGCTTTCCATTGCTAAAATGAGTAAGCTGCTCATAGAGCTTGCCTTTTCTCTGAAACCTCATCACTTTATTATTCATGGCTCCTTTTCCCTTGAATAATTCTGTGTTCAACCTCACAGTCAATGTGGTCCCATGCACAATTTTTTACTTCATTCCTTCCCACAGTACTTTCCCTAAATTTCATATGGCAGCTTTCTCTTTTCTGCCACTTTCAATGGCTCTTTCCCCCCTAAATTTCCAAGTGGTTGACCACAAGAACCACCTGTTTCTTACTCTACAGTCTGATTAAACTTATTTATATTTTATCACATTGCTAGTTTTTTAGAAAATTGTAGCTTGAGAAATTGGGGAGTATTTGGTTAAAGGCAAATTCATACCAGTAAAAAATTATATTTATTTTTTAAAAATTTTAAAAATTTAATAATTTTCCTACTTTTAATTTTTTATTTCAGTTGAAAAAATCTAAAGGAGTGTTACTAAAATAGAGGATAATACTATTGCAAATGATACAATGTATTGCTTTAATTTCAATCAGGTGATACACTGGAAAAAGGTGAATGTGGGAATAGATAAACAGTGATAGGATGAGAGAAATTTCTTGTGTCAACTGAGTTTCATTCATGCAGGCTCTAACAGAAAGGAACACAAAGACTAGTTTTGCATTCAGAATTATTTGTGGATATTCCAATAAGCACAAGGTATAATAATACACAGTACTTTAGCCTTTCCACAAAAAACTTGGGGGTCTGCTGCCCACTGTAGTAGTGAAGCGGGAATGTCAATCAAATTTTAGGAGCTGGTCACAGAGAGTGAAAATTGAAAGGAATAAATTATCTCCTAAATGCCTCTTCTTTACTATTAAATAAAATATTCCAAGCAATAGAGAGCAGGTTAAACTCCCCTTGCAGCATAGGAGGAGCAGGAAGGTATTCCATGAGGCTCAAGGGGGCTGCTCTGTGTGTGAGTGTTTTCAAGCGTGCTTTTGAGACTCTAATGGTGTGCTAAGCCTGATCCCGGACACTAAGTACTTCCAATTTGGCAATTTAATCAGTTGCTGAATCACTGTTTTCTTACCCTAATGATTCACTGAATTTTGTAAGGAAATGGACAAATAGGTGAGCAGTATCAGAAAAAATTTAAGTAATTTTCTGTTCACTTTTACAAAGGGTAAGCTATCCTGTTTACCTGTGTACCTGGAATCTTCTTGTCAGAACAGTGGAAATCACTTTTCACCTGATATGGCGTGGAAGGGGAGATGGTTGTGTGTGTGTGTATAAGAATGATGATAATGCAAAACCTATAATGCTGCCTTATTAGGCTAACTTCATTATTTTAAGTAAAATGAATTGTTGCTGCAAATTTTCTGTCGATTCTCTCTGTAACAGAATACGTAATGTTTGATAAGTCTTTGAGGATGCAAGTTAGGTTCATTTTGCCATACCATCTTTTTACATACTAGTGCCACAAACTACTATAATGTAGTCAGTAAAGAATGTGTGATAAGAGGCTAGAAATCTAAATCAAGGTTGCAAAAAAAAAAAAAAAAAAAGCATCCTGAAGTTCTTTTGTCATATTAAAATCTGACATATCTAAATTTTGTCCACGTCTCCATTGTCTTCTGAGAATTCCCATGTATATGTGAATATAGACTAATGATTTTTATTAACAACTCAAATGATACATTTAGTTGAGATGGAGATCTGGAACATTACTGGAGTTCTTTTGCACTTAGGCAATGCAAAGCTTAATGTTTTTACTACATTAAAATACATTTAGTTTATGATTTTAAGTGGTTTATACTGGGGATTAGCCAAACAAATATGGTATATGTTTCAGTTTTGGACATTGAGAATAAGTCATGGGCATTTTTGAGGTTGCTAACATATTTATAAAAGCAAAAGGAATTTATTTGAACCTAAATATATAAAAAGGTATAGTAATATATTTAATGATAAAAAATAAATTTTTGTGGTATTGTCTGGATGCTCAGAAGAAAGATGGCATTGAAGCATTTTGCTCTGCATGTTGAATCAGGTTGGATATTAAGAAATATTCTTTCACTGAAAGAGAGTGCATTAGAACACACTCCCCAGGAAATGGTTGAGTCACCATTTCTGGAAGTGTCCAAAAAATGAGTAGAAGTGGTACTTCACAATATACTCCAGTGGGCATATTGATATTTGGTCAAAGGTTGTGTTTGATGATCTTTGATAGTAATCCTATGATTCTATTAAGTTAGGTAGCATGGTTAACATGGGCTCTGAGAAAAAAGGAAAAGTATGAATAGACAGTAATTCCAGAGGGTCAGGTCAAGTATAAGCTCAAGCTAACCCACTCCTATATATAGATAGGCAAAGTTCTGTGTGATGAGGAAGCTTATTTTCAACTTGTTACAGGTTATTGCATATCAAATTGTATAAGTGGATGTATCTAAATGCTATCACACTCTGATCACACTCTGATTCTGAAATCCTGAACTGAATGAAATAAAAAAAAAGAAAAAAGGGAAAAGATTGAACTTCCTGCCAGAAATTCCTAAGAAAAATTCCCAGAACTTGGTAAGGACACTGGAGTTCTGAGTTTCTAGAAGTATTAGAACAAAACTCGATACCAGAAGTTGGGCAATCAACCTAGTTTGGTGGAGATATGAAAAGCCGTTAGGACTGAAATCCTAAGCAGAACATGAACTGATGGTGTCTCATTCATGTACAAATAAGTGAAGTGAACAGTCTGGGGTGTTCCTTCTTACGGGCAGTAAGTAATCTGCTTGCAAATAGCATGTGCATTTCCGTGCACATTCATGTTCTGCAACACATGTTCTGCCTGAAGTCCTAGTTTTGTTTAAGATGTTGGCTTTTAAATAATGGTTAATATATTATATTTATTGATGTCATATATTTTTCAAAGACTGCCAGGAAAACTTGTCAGCAGTTCACTGGAAAGATAAAGTGAATTGTTAAAACTAAAATGTCATCTACCAGCTGGAAACACTTCATTGCTTATTAATCGTAGAGCAAGAGTTTTGAGACATTAATTCCAGGGTTGCACCTGTATAATTTAAAGGCATATTCATGTGGACATAGCCTGGGAATGTATCCATGTAGTGGAGAGAATAACCTAGTATGCAGTTGTTTGCCATCATCCTACATTTAGCTCCTGAGGAGGACTTCTACATTTTTATTTGAATGTTCTTCCTGTGGGTGTGCATATATTCCAAAGAATATTTTAAGATTGTGGTGAATTTTTTTTAATATTTCTTGTCAACATGCTGACTGACAGGCTGTTATGGGTAGACTGCTTTTGATACTTAGGTCTTTACATTACTTTAAAAACATTCATAGTTTTTCACAGCTTGCAGTGTAAACTCTATGACTATTTTAATAATTAGTAGTCCTTCTTTAAATTTTAACTATACCATATCAAACTGGGCCCTGTTGAACTGTCTACAGCTCCTCATTCTGTAACAAACTCTAAAGTTTAAATTGTGTAATCAGGGATTTAAGTAAGTTGTTTATAGTGGAAACTCTTTTGCATTTATTTGACAAGAAGTGAACACGAAGACATCTCATACTATATATAATTGCCCTAATATAAGGAATATTTTCATGTGTGTTATGGTGCATTTTATCCTCATGCAAGAGAGGCAAATATAATAAGTGTAGGTAATATACCTACTGGTAACCATGTGTTTGATTACTGGGAAAACAGTAATCATAAGCAAATTAAGATATGAGAAATAAAAATGAAGGATGATGTTTTCCATGTTTCTTCTGAAGTCAGTTTACACTTCCAATGTGGACAGTTGTGATTAGCCTTCCCTTTGAAATATCCCAGTTTCATGGAAATTGTAGTCACTCATGGCAAACCCCTCTCTTTTCCAAAGCCCTTTCCCTGTACTGTGTGCATATATTTATAGTAAAAGTAAAATTACTTTCTTCTATTTTTGATAATTGGAGAATATCTAGCATAACAAATATATTTAAAATATATAAATTTTGATATTGTTTCATAATACAAGCAAAATATAAAGTTAGTTTTATTATATGAATTACATATGGGGTTTTTTTGGCATATTCTGGTACTGATGTTATATCTCTTAATTATTTATTTAAATAATGAAACACTTTGATCTAAATTCACCTTTTATCACAATATGACCAGTATTAGGAGGACTTAGAAATGGGAAAGCTTTGGAGCTATGTGGAAATGGTGGTAGACCTTCAGACAGATTAGTTTCAATGATATTATTCATACTAAAGTTATGACTGCTTTCAAACAAGGAAATAAGCAATCTGACTTCTTGACTTGCTTTCAGAGATTTATGCATTTTTTCTTCCTAACTTAAATACTGTAGAAAATCCCAAATTTTAGCTATCTTCTTGATCCATAATCTCCCACTGACTTCTCAGAATACATGTGTGAATCATCTAGATAATTTTATGTTTAGAAACATATATCTTATTATTTTGTTAATAAGTCCAATGTTCTTAAACCATAATGTTATGATTATAATGTTTTCTGTTTTGTGTTGTGTATCATTCCTTCTCCATCTTATTGTCTCATATCTATTTTTCTTTCTGCCATCACCTCAGTCATTATGTTACTTTACCTCGTTCCCGGTACACCCAGTCCTCAGATCACCATTACAGGGATGTCAGGTATATGTTTTCCTCTGTGTGACTCTGTGTGGGTAATGCATGTACTGTGTACCTACATGTCCACTTCTGGTTTTATTTGTCTGTCTATAGTGGTAGAAAACTTAGAAGTTGAGTTAGTATCATCATTAGATTTGTTAACATAGCATGCACACAAACGCTGGGTAATTCTTCCTGTGTTTCACTTGAATATTTTCTCACTGCCAGTAGTCTATAATTGATGGTCCTCAAAGATAATTCTTTATTTGTATCACTCCAGTGTCTTTTAGAGAATATATAAAGAAAATAATCTAAACCAGTAAACACTGATACCTGCTAATACTGTGATTTTAGTGTGCATAAAATCATGTATGAGTGACTGTGTTAAAGGTTATGACAAAACTGGAGAGTGATACCTTTCTCAGTCTTGCAGGTCTTGTAGCTGTGAGCCAATATACTTAAATTTTTACTAGTAATTTTGCCAAGTTCACCGAAGTTGCAGTCGTGTTCTGTTCCAGTGTTTTGTTTTGTTGCTGACATTGCTTGCTTTTCATGTTGTTTGTCTTAATTTCATCTTTTTGTTGCGTTTCATTGTGTTCACCCATTCTGTTTTGGCAGCCAGGATCACACAATGTATCCTCTGTTTTGTGAAGATGCAATCAGATTGCTCCGCTCCCGTACCATGTGCCGTACCTATTCTGAGGGTGCTTACTATGATCTTGAGAGGTATAACTGATGTGGAGTATGCCATTAGCTCTGCCACACTGACACTGCCACGTGTCATTTACAAACTGGGAATGTGATCTGTCTTTTAAGAGATAAACACATGCAGTGCATATGTTTTTATAATACTCTGAGTATGTATGCATCTTAAAACTGACTACTTGGGGCTGTGGGTAAATCCCAAGAGGTACCAAATAGCTCTGGAGAAGCCAGTTTTAAATAGATTATATGGATATTATATATCTGTGTCTTTTATAACCCTTATTTTTGCTGGAATTTTCCAGTGCTTGTAGTATTTATTATTCTCTTTGAAATAACAAGGAAAAGCCTTTCTACTTTAAAGTACACAGAAAGAGTGTCTTCTGAAGTCACATACTTTGCTTAACTGAAAAATAGAGTGAAAAGTAAAAGCGTATGCCTATGTAAGCTTACGTTGTATATATTTGTATATTGCGTATTTTGTGACTTAGGAATACTTGTACACACTCACAATACCTGTGGGTGATTGCAAAACATCTTAGTTCCTATTTACACATGAAATATATGGAGATAGAATTTGAGCCCATAATAATTTCTGTGAAATAAGTTGCCACTTGAAATACAGTGGCTTTTAAACTATGCTGCTCAAATACTGTAATTAAGATATTTTCAGAAATGTTGCAAACTGAAAAAGTTTACATAGTTGTTTGTAAATAGAAAGAAGAATATCAACCTGAAAACTGTAAGCCAATGAAAAGGAAGTGGTGACTTCAGATGAGATACAGTATTCGATAGAAGTGTTGCTTTACAAGAGAGGTAAAAATTTCCAAAGCAAGACGTAAAGAACTCTTTATATATTTATTTAATGGCTGCCCTCTGGATATGAGTCTGAGAAGTTCATTAATGCTTGCTCTGTATTCAGATCATATGTCACCACATTTTTAAGTGAATGTGAAATTACTTTTGGATGCAGAAACTAAAATGGATCTGAAAAATCCTTTGAAAGTAATATTTCTTTTTAAAAATTCTCCAAAGCTATAGTATATTAAACATTTTAACATTTAGAACTCAGTCAAGCATTTGAAATGATGCTGTTTTGCACGAAACCTAGTATAAAGGAATTGTGTAGGTATGTCCACATGTAGAAACTTCAATAAGGAGAGGGACTTTTTGTTTGTTTTCTTAAAATGCATGATGACATGTGCTCATTTGTATGCTATTTCAATAATTATTTTTTTTTCCTTAGATATATACTCTGATTTGCACTAGTTTCTCTGAACCTGTTTCAGATTACTGGTTATGTCAGTGACTGAATATTAGTGAAAGTTGGAGCTATTCTCAAATTGTCTTACTTTGAGGTTCTTGATTTGTAAATCTCAATCTTTGTTTCTGAAATTAATCTCTCAAAAATAAAGTCAATGAAAATAAAGGGCAAAAGTTACAGTACTTCATAAAGATGAAAAAGCTATTATTTAAGCAGTTGGAAAATCTTCTCCAGGGCTTTATGGAGCAGAAGGCTATTCAAGCTAATTCTTCCTGGGATCAGAAATGAAAATCTGACATGAAGTGGAATATTTCTAGCTCACTGTTAGAACAGTATCTCGATATTCCTTGGGCCTAGAAACTGATCCTGGATTCTGTAATCCTTTTGAATCCAGGCTGCCTGAGGGTAACATTAGTGTTCAAGTTACTTGAGTCATTCTACCACATATGAACTCCTCTTAACACTTCCTAGCCACAATTGTAGCTCCTGGATTTTCATCATTTTTTTCCTTCATGTATTCTAACAGCAATTTAAGAACAATTTGTAGCATAATTGTTTTCCAGTTTCTCTTTAGACATTGCAAAACACTAAGTAATTTTCTATACCTCATTTTTTGTAAATATATGAGCAATTACTTTTTAAATAATATTTCCTCTTTCATCTTTACACGTTTCACCAGTTCAGTGTTTACTCTAAAATACATTATTTTGTAGGCCAAGGTGTTATTCCTGTCTTCTTTTTTCCACCTTCTTAATTAATGTCTTGTTGATGTCAAGCAATCACATCTCTTCCAGTCTTCCACTTTATCATGCATATGAAACAACTTTCCAGTTTCCACTATTCATCAAAATAGCAAATATTGCTTTGTACAGTCCAGCATTCAGGAAAGAGTTTCTCACCTGAGGCAGAGAGTTTTTTATCTCATGTCACTCTGAATCCATCAGCATCTGTGTCCTGCAGGCAAATGAATCATATAGACATATTAGTCAAAATTACTTGCCTTTGTTATTCATGGCTGCTTTTATTGCTTATCTCGTAGTCATTCACAGCCATCCCATTAACTCTTGTGGTCTCTTCTAATATTTTTTTCCTTTTCTTTTTTCCCCACAGAGTGACTACTTGTTTCTCTTTCATCTTTTCTCTGATGAAGTTTGTGTCAGTCACTGTTTATCTGACAGACCTCAGTTCACTAGTCCTAGAACACATTTACGTTATCAAAAACCTTAATTCCTGAGGTCATTCTTAGGTTATGGCATTCATGATTTTGTTTTCCTGATAGCTCCTCCCTTTTGAAGAAGTCCAGCTCTTTCCCTCCCAAAAGGAACAGTAGCATTCACAAGATATTTACACCAGCATATGCCTAAGAAAGGCAAAAAACTCCTGTGCATCTTCAGGGACTTCAAAACCCTTAGGACCTGGGGTCTTCCCAAGAACATCCTGCTGCTCAGTGCCATGTCCCAAGTTCCCTTGGCTGTTCAAAGTTACAGTCAGCACGGCAGCACCAGCTGGGATCAGCTCACCCTGCTGCAGCTGGACGTGCTGAGCTTTACTTACACTTTCATTTGTATCCCCCAATTCAGAATCCTGCAGAATCATATGGGCTAATTCATAATTTGACAGTAACACATTTAAAATTGTCTGACACACCAACGATCTCAAAACCACAGTAATGTTCTCAAAGTTCTTATTCTTAACCTTGTCCTGATATTTTAAAAAATATTAGCAATTAATTCCAAATAAAATTATGCTGAAAACCTCACTGTATGAAATTCTTTCTCAGCTTACCTATTTCAGAGCTCAGCTTAATCAGCAACACCTCACTGTGCAATTTATTTTTTCCACTTAGCCTTTAAGTTTAGTGTTTGTAGGTCCATAAAAGCTGGTTTGTGCATGTTTTGTGCAGGATGTGAGGTTTCTTTCAGGCAGAATTTCGGTTGTTTCACTTAAGGAAATTAGATTTTTCTTCTGTCTTCTTTCCTGACTTTTGTTTTACCCAGCAGACATTTTCTAACATCCAAATCTTACTTTTGGTGAACATTCTCTGTTCAACTACTAGTTTTCTGTCAATGTAGCTTTCTGCTTCTATGACATATGTGTGCATTGATCAAGTGTTCTTAGTAAGTTGTTAATTATTTCTGAATAGAATTTGAAAGCAGAATTTTAAATTTTATATATATATATATATATATGAATGAAAATATATGTTCAGAGTATATAGCTGAATTGAAGGTAAATGAGCTCTATCTTCATCATAACTTAATAATACAGTAAGGGAATACATAATGAAAAAAGCACCTTCTAAAATGTCTGAAATATCTGTGCTATTTATTCCATATTCAGGAGGACTAGGCAGGAGAGAAGAGTGCCTAATTCATATTATGATGACACAGCCTATACTCCTGAAAGGTATTTTAATTTATATAGTAAAAATAGATAGAGTTGAGTAATAAATTTTTATGAAGCGTAGTCTAAAATTCTAATTGACCTAGACTAATGATATTTAAATTTACAGTGCACTTTATGCCATATTTCTCTAAATACAGAACAACTAATCTCCATAGTTTTAAGTACCTCATTTTCTTTTTAGCCCTCCATTAATTTGACTTTGGATTTTTTTGAGCATAATTCTTAACTTGAAAAATTTTTTATTCATTAGATGTGGGAGGAAAACTCAATAGTACAGAGGAGCTTAGGTACAACTGAAGATTTTTTCTCAGCTTAACTGCACCATAATTCTAATGGCTAACCTTTTCTGTCACTAGAGGTGATTCTAGGGCAATTTACTTAATTTCATTCTTTCAATAACCTGAGTACCCTAAGATGGTACTCAGTTTTTAGTATGTTACTGCCCACACTGACTTAAAAAAGGTCTAACCAAATGCCTTCAAATTGGTTTTGAGTGTTTGCTGTGCTAGGAACCAAAGTGCTATTGTTCTTCCTAGATTTTGTTATGTGTATAATGTATCACAATGAGCATAATATCGCTAAAATCTGACATGTAATCTGAAAAGTTTCAGAGTGTCTCTGGAAATGGTTATTTGATAGCAGCCTTTCATGTTTAAACAGCTAGGCCAAAAGAGAAGGAAGTCTGAAGAAAAGAGAAAATCAGTGTTCCTGTCCCTCTTTAAAATTAGATGTTTTATACTTCTCTGTCCATTTAAAAGTCAATGTCTGATTTTTGTCTACTTTATGGGAACAGGTAAAGCAGGGATTTTTTCCTAACAAATGGCAAGGAATTTTTATTTTATTTGATTGCTATAAATAAATACAGTCATATTTAAGAAAAAATAAAGTGCACTGCAATTTTAACCCCATATTTATGTATTTATGGTGTCTGCAATAAAGTAGTTTTATCAAAAACTCTCATTTAAAATACTGGTTAACTGGAGAGTCTGGCTTCAGTTTTGAGGATGAGGATATGGATTATCAGAGAGAGTGTAATGATGTACCTGTCATACTCCAGCAGTATTCTAATTTATATGGGATTAAATCTAAATCTAATCTAAAACTCAATTAGATTAAACTGAAATGACTTTCATCCAGCCATTGATCTCGCTATAAACCATTTAAAAAAAAAAAAAAGGTCACTCCCCATACCATCCAATTGGACATAGAATAAGCAAGGGTAGCTGATTGACATTCACATATATTGCACCCCATATGGTCTTCCCTCAACATAATATCCAGGAGATATGAGGTTATTAAGTTTGTAAATATACTGCAAACGCTCAGATTCTGCAGCATGAGAAGTTTGGAGAAAAGGCAGAAAAAAACTGCTGTGATTCCCAGGAAACTGCAGCATGAGAAGTTTGGAGAAAAAAAAAAAAAAAACTGCTGTGATTCCCAGGAACAGATTCATCAAAATTCTTGGATCAGTGTCCTTTACTCTATGGATAATATTTTAAGTACATATAAACAGGCTGGGTTTTTTTTCCAAATTGATATTTTCTGATAATCCCTGTCTTCTCACTCACTGTCATGTGGAAATCATTGAATACAGACAACATAGGAGTTCCCTGGCTTTACTGTATAGAGATCCTGAAAGTACAAAACTCCAGAGATTTAGTTGGAACTCCTTAGCCAAATGGTGGATGATTTGTATCTAGTTTTAATATACTGGAGTAGTGGCACATAAGCAGTTTATCCCCTGATTTCTTAAAGCAGCTTTTTTTGTCCTATTATTTATTTTCTTGATGTTTTTTCTTAAGATAAAATACTTCTATATGTGTTTTTTGTTGTCTTCAACTGATATGCTGAAGTGCTGCTGCAAATGCTGGGGCAGCCCATATTCAGTACCTGGAAGAACAATACTACTATAAAAATTAATTAGTTTTCATTATTTGATCGTTGAAGTGAATTTTCTTCTGCTTCTTACATACCTGTGAGAAACCAACTACCCTATCAAATAGAAAAAAAGATTACAACTGGCAAGGTTATGTATTTGAAGTTAAATGCAACTTAAACTCTTAGTTTAAACTCTTAGTGTATGTTATTTTTGTTAATGTTTTGTCTCCACAATTAGTTTTTTATTATTCCACAAACTCAATGGCCATTAAAAACATGAAGACATTTATGTATGCGAAGATAAGTGATCAATTAGTCTTTATGTAACTGAAGTTTATGGCTTAACTGCTGAAAAGACTAGAGGTAAAATATAATAATTACATAAGGAAAAAAAGTCCTATAATTTTCTTGCTGTTTGGTTTTGAAAAAGTTGATTTTCTTCATACCTGAAAGAAATATGAAATGTACAAAATTGTTTTGAAACATTTGGAAATCTTCCCATTTTGTTGAGACGTGGTCATGTCACATGAATTAGAGTGTTAATAGTAATACTTTACTTTTTAATAACACTTCTTTATTTTGACTGCATTGTAAAGGTGGTACAATGGTGCAAGTTCATGGGCAGATGATATAGTCAATGGTTCAGCTGAAAAATATGGGTAAGTAAAGAGTGTAGTGTTGCAGATAAAACTAAAATGTATTTTGGATCTTTATAATAATTGCATCAAATTTATTCCTAATAAATGTATTTTTCTTGATGCCTTTCTTTCTTGACTCAGAACTAAAGCACTTGTGTTCTAGTCTTTTTTTCCAAGATTAAACTTTTATTCAGTTACAAATAGAAAAAGAACATTAATTATGTTTGAACTATTTTTAAAACATGTTCTCGCTGTTCAGGGCTGCTTTAAAAAAAGCGGCTTTTTAGTGATACCTGCCTACATCTGCAGTGTTGGCAAAGGTGTCTTTGAGACCTGATTCTTTTTTACATTTAGAAATAATCCCACTTCTATCTGTCTAACCTATCTTCCTTTGTGACTGATTCATAACCCATGCAAAGTGCTGTGTGCCTTAGAATCTGTACTTCTTCCCAGTTGTAGCTGGCTTCTGATCGAGAAAGCACACAAATGTTCCTTGCTTTTAGTCCATTGACTTTACTGCTTCCCTCTCATTTTCTTCTTGCTCTTGCAACAATTTTCTTGTTTTTTACTTCCTTCCTCTGTGAATGTGAACAGAGAACACGAGAGACTGTTAAAATGAAATGCAATAAATCTGATAAAACCTGGAATGAATCCATCAATATTTTAACGTGGGCTTCTCTCTTCTTTAGAGAGAAAGGATTTGTGAGGGTCTTTTCATAAACATTTGTGCAGTTGCAGAGACTTGAGACTGTATATATTTGCTAGATTTTTCAACCACAGTGCCACTTTTCATTGGGTCTTCATTTTTAAGTGCACAGCAAAGGCCATATTTATCACTTCATCCTGGAAACTGTATAGGCAAACTGGAAATGAAGAGCATTTAAAGAAGGTTGGAAAGTGATTGGTGTAACTAAAGCTTTTGCTTTTTAGTCACATGGAATAGTCCTGTCTTACTTCCCTTTTCTTACTTTTTATCCTGAATAGATGCTAACATAAGTAAATATCAGGGGTAAATATCTAAAAATAGTTTTTTAACATGAAAAAGAAACTTATTAGTTACTACTCTCCTTCTCCATTTAAATATAGCTCCTAAAATGTTTGGCAAAAGAAAAAAAAATATTTGTGAATGTGAACCATTTTATAATGGTTCACATGATTTCATAATGTGAACCATTATGACTTTTAAATAAAACATAAGGCCTAGATATTATGTCTATGCCTTATAACTATTATAAGGCATCTATTCTAACTTTAATAAAGACTGCTGAAATGGATCAGATTATGTACAGATCAATGGATTTAGAGAATGCCTTTAACAGAAAATGAATGCTATTTTGCTCATTTGTAATTTAAGAACTTAAAAGATTGTAAAGTCTTACATACCTACTCCTGTTTGAATGATCTGATTGAAATCCTGGTCTCATCAAGGGACAAAACTCTTGATATCAGAGAGGTGAGAGTTACGGATCTGTTGCCAAAAGTTAAGAAGAAAAACACGTAGCTGCAGTATATATACATAATAACTGCATAGTTACAACTCTGGTTGTGGTAATTTACTATTTAAACATCTGCCATATTATTGGTGTTTGAAAATGTCACTGAAAAAAAAGGCCAACTATGTATATGTGCCATATAGAAATAAAGTTATATTTAAGATCTGAGGAAAACAATCCCACAAAATCCATCAAGAACCAAGTACTTCTCATATTTTGCACTTAGTACAACACTTTAAAAATGCATATTTAAGTTACATTATTAGTTTTAAGCTAACAGCTACTTCAATTGATTAGCCTATAGTCTAGGTGCACTGCTGAACTGGATTTGAATATTCAAGTTTTACTAGGAAATTCTTCTTTTTCATTGCTTCCCTCTCAAGGTCCTCTGTGCATTGTCTTATGTACCACTATACTTCAGTCATAAGACATGTTAATTAAAACCCAGGCCTGTTCCTGGTTTTGTTCATACATTGTAGTATAATATTCAAGTTGAGTGGGTGAAATATTGTGTTCTGAAATGGGAAAAACTGTGGAATATATTTATTATATAAAGCTGAAAGTGTGAATATTTTGGAATATTTCCAGTACTTTAATGGAAGTTTAGATTATTATCTAGAGAGAATCACTGCAGTAGATTCGGTTATAAAACTGAGCTGGGTGAAGGAGAGGAGAGGATTTCAGCTCTCATCTTTGAGAATTTTGAATTCCCAGCTAATCAGCTTTATCATGATCTTCAGTGAGTCATCTCATGAACATAGAGATGAGTATTCCTGCAGGGTGATTCTTTTACTTGTGTCAGTTGAGAGTCTGTTTTAAGGATGTTGAAAGTTAGAAGTAGTTGGCAAAATACAAGATACTGTATAAGGCAGCTGGCTATATAAGTGAAAAGATACATTGCAAGTACTAGAGGCAATAAAGTAAAAACACTCTACAACTTTTTTGCAGATAAAAATGGTATGAAATGCGTCTAATTTCAGTCTTCCAAGGATTTACAATAGTTATTTTTTTATTGATATTTAGTTGTAATAGCTAGTATGAAGCTCTAATTGCATCAGAAGAATCATAATATAATTTGGGTTGGAAAAAACCTTGTCTGCTTCAACTCTGTGAAGCATAACTTCGCTATTCCTCAGCAAATATATCAATGATGACACATATTTGGGAGAGTAAATCTCAACAGGTGTAGATATATATGCTTTCCTTAAGCATTTTTGTAATTGTACCATGCCATGTGTTAGCATGGTCAGCTGTGTCCACAGCAGTCGTGAAGTGAGTGCAGTGTCAGGTCCAGACACCTGAGCAAGCTGTGAGCAATTACATTCTGTGGCTGCAGCAGAGCACAGGAGTGTGGAGCACAACGTGCCTGGGATCATGGCAGTGTTCCCTGCTTTGTCTGCTCAGCTGAGTTAGCAGAATAGTTCAGACTGTCATGTTGCAGTTTAATCATGCCTGTCACTGGCATGGAGATATACTGGTAGTTATCCCATATACCACAGGGTAATATGTGTGTGACCAGATCATACAGTGTATGGATGCATGTATATATGTGTATACGTGTGTGTGTGTGTGTGCATCTATATTGCATATATTAAAAAATTATAGACTATTATATATAATTATTAAAAAATTATATTACTATTACAGTATTATATTACTATTACAGTACACCATTACAACCAAAATATCTTGCTCTACCTTTTTTTTTAAACCAGAGTACCTAAAACCGTCCTGTCCTTTAAAAACTAAAGAAGCACATGATTTTATATTAGGTTCCTTTATGAGTATAGATGAGTTTTCCTTTATGAGTTAGTTGCTGAGATATCCTGTCACCAGTTTTTCTAGAAATTTGACAGTGTGCTGCTCTTTCCTATTTTCCATTGCAATATTTATGACTCAAATTTAAGTTGTTTTGGTACCAGAAATAACATTTGTTTTTAGACATGCTTATCTATGTTATGCTAACAGAGGATCTTGTGTCTGTGACTAAACAGCAAAGTTCCTATAGCTAGTAGAAGAATAACATGTCCAAGGATTGAAATCCAGCAGCCATCCACAGACACTGACAGGTATTGCCATTGTATATTAGCTGGAGTTTGAAATTATGATACTTAGAAAGTGTGGTGTTGTAATTTTCTTGTTCTGTTCAGTGTTTCATTATTTCATTTTCATAGATTAAAAAGATTCACAAGGAGCTGAATTGTAATCCTACAGCAATTCTATTTTTATTTCTTCAGTTTTTTGTTACAAGAAAAACCTAATGTTAAAATGATCATAGGCATGATCTCATAATTTTTACAGAGTAAAAGAATTTAACATGGGCTTTTAAATAAATGGTTTTCAGTGATTTTGGGAAAAAAAAGAGATCTATTTGTTATGTAAACTGTTACAATTGCTTACTGTTGGAAAATGTTAATCTTTTATAAAACTTTTTCTATCCATAAGTTTAGATCAATGACTATAATAATTTGTTGAAAATTCTTTTTATTTGTTAAGAAAAGTAACAAATCTGAAAAATTAAAAATCAGAAAGTCTTATTTACTGCATAGGGAAAAGAGTTCACATTTGAAATTTGCAGTATATATGTATGTATATATATATATATATATATATATATATATAAATGGAGATAAATCAGTATATAAAATACATTTTTTTAGCACGTTTGACTAGGTACTACAGCAACTAGAGTTTACAGTGGTACCTAAATGATATTAGATTCTGTTTCTAATACTTGATGGATTTGGAACACGAAGTTAGACTGTGAATACTCACAGAGCTTTCTGTGTAGTGACTTACAGAGAGCTCAGACAGTCTCACAGGGATTGGCTTGCTTGGTTAAGAAGCAAACACTGCTGTACCATTTCCTAAGAGTAAGGGAGAGTTGTGCTTACAAGTCTTGCACACTTTGGCATGGAAATTAACCATCTACCATGCCTGTCTTCCCTAGCAAAAGTAGAAGGCTGCTACAATAGGCAGTACTAGATGGAGGAGGCCATTATTTGACATTTCAGTAACTGCATTTTCATAAGGAAAAGTCTGTTAGCAAAGGTAAACAGTGCCAGTATCCATTAAAATGTTATATGGATGTTGAATAATTTAACTAAGACTACCATATTTCCCTCTTTAAAAATCAGTAATTCATATGATATGATTTGTAATGAGAAAAGAAGAAATTTTCATCTAGATAATTTGTAAGCATAGATCTTTAAGAATGATATCTGAAAAGTTAGAAAATTCAATTTTTAATTTAGCTTCCTCTCTTAAGTATTGCTGGATTTTGATATTCATGCATAATTGTTTACAGTGGTAAGCAAGGGGTGTCACTGCACAAGCAGGTTATCAGCTAGTTTTCCTGTAAAAGAGACAGTTGCTGAAGACTGGGATCATGTAGTACATCTGTTTACTGTTAAAAGGATAAAAGAATAAGTAAGGATGAAGACCAGAGAGTAAAACTATTTTTTGAATTGCTCATTATATGCATATGATGTAAAACCACAAAGTGAAGCTTTCAAGTGGAAGACTGTCCCCTCGACAAAGCCCTCCATTTGCTGTAGTCCTTATTGAAAGGATTGCAGCCTGTAGACTGAGGGTGACAATCAGTTTGACCTCAGGACTCAACTTGGTCTTCAAATCCTTCAATCTACAAAGCAGCATTGCCTCAGCTTCAAAGGTTTACTGCCAAAATCCACCCTCTCCTTCACTTCGGAGAACTCCCAGCTGTAATTGCACTTGAAGGAAATGCCCACTGGAGGTTGTAGCAAACTGTGTATTAGCTACTGAATGTGACATTTTTGAGGCCTTTACCTGTTTAACTGCAGTTGCTCCATGATGTTCTGCAGAGCATAAAACCTGCCTGCTAAGCCATTAATATTGATCCCAATGGTAAGAATGCCTCCTTCCTTCTAATCAGGCAATAGGTCAGGCCCCTAATATCCTAAAAACTACTTTTTATACCTATAGAGCTAAAGAGAATGAGGCCTTAAGAGTAACAAATGGGAGCCTTAACTTCTCATGAAGACTTTATGAGAAACGTGGTTGCCACTCACCTGTTCCTCTGTGTCCTACTGGCTGTTGGAAGGAGAGAGGAATGGAGCATGTAGTGACACCCTTACCATATTTCCCAGTCCCTGCTGCTAGGTGCCCCAGCAGTCCTCTACTCACTGACAGGAGAAATGCTGACAGACCCAAAAATGTCTCAGTAGGCTCATTAAAATTCTTAAATATGTGGATAAACAAGATAAGGGTGGGTTTTTCAAGACCTGGATATAATTATTTGTAATTTTGTTGAACTTAGGAGTATTTTTTCTTGGAATTTATTCCCATAGTCAAAGAATGTATTCTATGGTCATTTCTTGCCATCATGAAGATGGGTGACATTTTTCTCACCTTCCATAACACTGAAACCTCACTTAAACTGTTACTTAAACTAAACAGCATTCCTATCAAAGCTAAGGTTGTGTTTCTCTGTCTATCAACAATGTAAAAGAAGCGAGACAGTGGATGTTTTTGCTGATGAAGCTTCCTATTCAGAAACAGAACTGATAGAAGAAGAAGTGAGGTAACCTTGTTGTGGTTTTGTGCCAGGCTCATTGTACTTTTCCTACAATCTTTAGTGCCTCAGCTTATAATTACCATTTATGTGTCTCACTGTGGTGTGTTTGCTTGTTAGGAGCTTATAGATGTAGGTTCATGACGTATGGTATTATTCTGTATCTGTCTGTGGCAAGTCCCTCGTATGCTCTAGGAGTGCAATTATGACCTCATGGAAGGCCTGAAAAGACTGTTTTTAATGAATATTTTGTAAACACATTCGACAAAATCAGCCACTATACTCTTTTTCAATGCTTTTAGAAATAAAATGCTGTTACTAACATAAAAGTCTTCATATAAGGCTGTGGTGTGTCTCTCTCCTTTTTGATACTAATTAAAATTTGACTTCTTGTTACACTTAATCACCATCAAGCCACTCATTGTATTAACTGACTTCATTGTAAAATGCATGACTTCACTCAAGGAAAAGTCCTGAAGGGTACACATTCCCCATTTGTATTCTGTATCTGTTCACTTACTCAAGGAGAGCTGGGAGGAGTGTGGTTTTAATAAATAGCTCCATTAGGGTCTGGATTTTACTTTTTTAATTGCCTTGATTTAATGTATTTCAGGATATTGCTAACAAATATTACTCCTTGAAAATAGACCAATTACATTGAGAAAAAAGGTGGGGCTTGATTAATTTCTGAAAATAATGGCCTGATTAATAGCCTAAGAGAGTAGAAGATATCACTGCTTGATCAAGAAATTCTCTTTTACTCAGTCTAATTTCTTCCCATTACATCTCTAACAATAACTTTTTCCACTGCTGTTTTGGTACAGTTCCATAGGCTATGGGTTAAAATGATTTTTGAATTACAAACCAATTTTTTTCTGGTTGTTGGAACCTCTGTAAGTACTAATGATGTAGATTTTCATCTGGTTACAGTCTCAGCACCACATATGAATCTATCACTTATTGGCTAGCCTATATATAACAGACATCCCCAAGTCTAATAATAGTTAACAGTGCTACGTGGTAATTATAACATCTAGACTGTGGACTTTTCTACGAACAAGAGTGCTACTTCTAGAGACAATGCAATCTCTAAGAAATCTGTAAAAATCAATTCATATGAGAAAAAATGCGCAATTATACTGCACTATTAATGAGTTCTTAGCTTTATTGAGACTATATATTATGTCAGCTACTCTTTTATTCGCAGGTTGATACATTAATAGACAAAATAACAATATTTTAACCCAGAAGTTGTCAGGAAACAGACTATTGCATGGATAGTCATTACTGAGACATTGGAAACATTTCAGCCCATTTATCAAGAGTATGGAGCAAGTCAAATCATACGTGTGAAAAAAACTATATGTTATCAAGAAGTTATCTCAGAAAATTTATTCCCCCTAAAAATGTATGTTATAAAATGATTTGCTCCAAACCAGTATCATGCAGCATATTTTATAACTAATAGAAAAGTCAAAGTTCAACTGAGCTGCTTTTTGACTAACATTACAGGAATTGTGAAGCAGCAGATAGACAGCCATATCAAAGATCCAGATCAACAGAGCAACGTCCTGTGCTAGAGCGGACCAACTCCCGCTCCCGATCCACAGAGCGTCCTGACTCAAACCTCATCAGGTCGATGCCTTCATTAATGACTGGAAGATCTGCCCCTCCTTCACCTGCCTTACCGAGGTGAAACAGACAAATCAATCGGACTAAACCCCTTCTGCCCCACCAGCTCACCATTTTATTTTCCCAGTAGCTAATTGGTATCGCCTCATCCTCAGCTGATCGCTAGCAGCAATAGATACTAACCCTTTCAGTGTGAACACACTATTTATATTCTACTCTGGATATAATGGTGTGGCTACCATTGCAAATTGCTTGCTAACAGTATTTAACTATATTTGTTTATGATTTCTCATTTGTCAGGAATCCTGGATGGTTTCCACATAAAGCACCTCATAACTATCATATTCTTCTCTTACAGAATGAGAAATTATTTGTGTTCATCAGACATTGCTTATGGAACAACCATCATAACATCAAATGAAACTATTTTTTTAAAAAAAAAAAGTTTCTTTAGATGCACTGTACTAACTTTGTCTATTACTTTTCATTTTAACCACCATTTTCTCTGACTACATTTTACTGTGCCATAGTCTGTACTGTTCCTGTTTGAGTACCCCTTATTGATATTTTGAGGATTTCTATACATTATTCTTAGCTTAAACAAACATAATACAATAAAAAAGTGAGCACATTCTAGATCGTGTTCAGGAAAACCTCTCTGTATTTTAGAACTGCAGAATACATTCTTTTGTTTTCTGAAAGTTAGAGTTAGTATCATCAAATCCCCAGTGAAAACTGAGTCAAATATCATTGTCTTTCCTCAGTTCCTTACTCTGTTTAGACAAATTCATGTAATCTCACTGCAACTCAAAGGTAATTTAAAAAACAAGCTGAGTAAAGATAATTGGATTTGACTTGTGAATAAATTTATGTGTATGTGGCTATTATATTCATATGCACGTGAATATGCACACAACATATTTTCTGGCTTGACTGTGTGAAAAACCTTCTTATTGAAGCATCCTCAGCCTTAATTTGGCTTCCTTTTAATGGAGAGATTTCTCTTTTTAATCAGGTCTTTTTCTGAATAGAGATAATAGTTTCCCTCTTGGACTGCAAGGGTCCCAAGTGATGTAAAGTCTATTTAGTCACGTTATCAGTTCTTGATGATATCTAAGAATGACCTTGTCATTTAATGGCTATGGTTTGTTTTGATATGTGTCTCATAGGTCACATCCTCGAACTGGGTCTGTCCAGACAAGTCCATCAAGTACTCCAGTAGTGGGGCGAAGGGGCAGGCAGCTACCACAGCTCCCACCAAAGGGGACGTTGGAGAGAAGTAAGTGGATGCTTTTCTCCCTAATGACATTACCAAATTGCTCATCAAGGTCGATTATATTCATTATTTTTCTTTTGCCATTACAGTTGAAATCTCTTGCGTTTTTGTGTACAGAGTTGGGATTTGATAATGGTATTGCATTTTGTACTGTGTTTTCAATTAGGTTTTAACACCTATGAGACTCTTGGCTGGCATGAATAATCAGCAGTATAATGCACGCAAAACAAGGTGGACTATTACCATGATCCTGTTCCTTTTGAACTCAGTAGGTGTTTTGTCATTGACTTCAACAGGCACAGGAAATGATCCTTAGTATGTTGTTTAGTGACAAAATTCTGGCTCTTTTGGGAGTCAGGAACCTAGTTGATGACTTGTGGGCTCACCTGGAGTGTATTACAGAATGCTTATATAAAACCTCTGCATCTTGAAAGAGGAAGAGCAAGAAGACAGGTAATAATCTTTAAAATAAGAATGTCAGATATTTTCTGATTCATCTTTTACTGGTACTGTAATTGTGCCTACTTTTAATGTCTATTAAAAGCACTGGTTGATGGAGATATTTTCTGAAATGTTTAGAGACAAAGGTATATAAATGCATTCTTGACAGCAAATACACTTTCATGATTATGTTTCTACTAACTAGGTGTGCCATGCAAAATCAGTCTAAATGGCCATAAACACTCCTTTTTTTTAATCCTTCTTAACATGTATATTGTATCTTTAAAAAAATTCTGTTGTTTTTAACCCCTATGCTTTGGTTCCTTTTTTTGTTGTTTTTGTTTTTGTTTGTTTGTTTTGTTTTTTGTGACTTTCCGTAGACAATGGAGACAAGGAGATAGAGTCTTATGAAGGTCTGTACATAAAGAAGGGCTTGTTTTTCACCTGAAAGCCTTTTTTCAGAGGCTGTATAGGGAAAAACAAACCCAACTGCAATTGATGTTACTTGATTACACAGACATAGTCAGAATTATTGTCATAATGATTTAGTCTTTATTTTTAGGCCTGTGGCTCAAAAATTTTACAGGATTCTGCATGAAAAAAAAAGACAATATAAATAATACTATCTAAATATGATTGTCATTATAAAAGTACCTAAGCCTGTACCCATTTTTAAAAACCTAGAATTTACCCTATGGCAAATAAAAGCATTTCAGCAGTTATGTATGTACATTTCCAGGATTAGCAGATATTCAGGCACATGTTTATATATAAACATTGGAGGATATTTCACATGCTTTGTGTTAGCCATTCATTTAATCAGAATAATGTTTTTATTGCAAATACTTTATATTTTATAGTGTGAAACATTTGCTGAATTAGTAGGCAATTTGAAAATATTATGGGAAAATATATTGCATTGAGATAGTCTTTCAAAAAGTTAAAATATTTTTGCTCAAAATAAAATCCCCTTATATTTTACAGTATTAAAACAATTTAATTTACTTAATAACAAGCCACAAGATATCAATTGCAGTCCTTGGTTGTACCACTGAGGGTCTTTATGTAGTATTACTGTGTTTGTCTCATCAAACTTTTTAATTTAATATTTCTAATGTTAACAGTATTTATTTCCATTTTGGAAACAAAACTTCATGAAAAGAAAACTCTTGTTTTCTTGGATCATCACTCTATTATATTAATTTCTTTGTCACCTTATGTTTTGTGAATTGCTTATATGAAATAGAGTCTAGATATTCCAGGAAATAATCACATCTAATCACATGATGTTTGCTGTCATTGCTCTATATGCTTTTATGTTTTACCACTCTTCCCTGCTCTTTGCTTAGTATATCTATTTAGACTCTGAGCTCCTCAGAGCAGCAATTGTGAAGTGCTGTATATTTTTACTGTGTTTGATTAGAGAGGGTAGAAATCTTCTTTTTTATTTACATCATAGGTTCTATAGAGAGAAATGTAATAAATGCAACAAAATAACTATTTTAATAAGAATTCTAGAATTTTTTCCTCTGGTAAGTACTGCTGGGACTTGAGGAAATCTCTTTTTACTCGAAAACTGAGTATTATTTTCCTTTTACTTTGTCTTTTGAAAAAAGTAGTCTTTTGGAAAATCTGGGTTACGGAAAATTGTCAGATCCACAGATTCTGATGTTCTAATATGGAATCAAGGCATCATAAGTGACTCAAGATACAGCAATAAGAAATTTCATATTGAACTTACATGTATAAAGATGGTAAACACTCTTAAAAACCTAATCCGTAGGTACAGCTTTCATAGAGCATTCTATGTAATTTTCTGTCATGAATTAAGAGCTCATATTCTAATACCAACAGAGTTTTTCTTTGAAGATTTTTCCATCCTTCTCTAGGATTTTCTTTAAAGGGAGTAATAATTTTCCTTAAAAAGGGTAGTCTCTGTAAGAACAGCAGATTATCTAACTTTGTTCAGTGACAGAATATAATTAAGATTAATAGCAGTCTTTTTACTGTGGAGAATTGAATTTTACAGAAAGTTATTTTAGGCAAATGAAGTACCAGTTACAAAAACTGAAATTTAATAGAATTGGAAACACTGACTATCATAGAAGCAGTTTATGTTAATATTTAACAAATATAGCATCAAGTAAACCTGCAAATTTTGTAGGCATTTGAGTAAGTTTCAATGCCTTTTTTTTAAGCCCCAGTGATAATCAAAATTTTTGTGTGTGGTTGGGAAGGTTATATGACCAGACCAAAAAATGTTGTCACAGAGTAGTCCTTTCTGCTCTTACAGAACACATACTTGACTAAAATGAGAGAGGTGTTTCCATATTGCATGGAAATGTGCTGTGAAGGTTGAACTTTCTGTATTTTGAAATCAAGGATTTTACTGTCAGCTTGATTAAATTAAAACCAAACTGATTAAAAGAGTTAGTTAAAGGTATCTTATAGGCAATGATGAATTGGAAGTCATCTCAGCTTTGTAAAAGAGGAAAAGAAAGAAGGAAAAATGTATCTGTTGCAGACTCCTACAGTGGCTCATTTAGTTTGCATGCATTTGAATAATTTGTATTTCTTGCAAGGTTGTATCTGCATACCTTTTCTTTAAATGTTGTACAAATGCCAGAACTCAAGTAGAAAGAAGGGAGTAATTTGCTGCTGGAGATATTTTTTGTTACAGGGCAGCACTCACTAGAATGTGGAATATGGTGTGCTTATGGCTGTCTGACTAGAAATGCAAGGGAAGGAATCTACAGGGAAAACCCCAAGCCTTTGGGTAATTGTTCTCCAAATTAGGATCAGAATCAAAAAACCATTCATTTGGATTAGATTTCTTTCCATGAACTGTATTATGTGGTTGGGAGTTTTTGCTCCAGGACGTGTAGGTGCCTCATGAATACTTTATTTCAAAATAGCCCAAATAGTTTGCTTTCAAGAAAGCTACCTGAGAGTAGCTATGAAGGACCATACCTATCTGTGGTGTACTGATCCAAACATTTTAGTCAGTGTCCCATGTGCTCAGTAGAACATACAATAATATCCTTAGTTACGTTGCATTTAGAGCCTTTTATGGTCATGAAATTTTTGCTAATTCCTTAGGTTGCCACTGCTCTGTTTATTGCAGTATCAGATTTTCCTGTTGAGAAGAATGACTGGGTGTTTCTGAAATGTTTGTCATTGCCTTGTCTACCCAGGCTAAACCTTAGCATCTAGGCAGTTTGGGTTTTGTTTTAGATTTTATTACTTCAGTATATTTTCATGTAACGTGCCTTGAAAATAGTTCTGAAAAGATGTCTGGGACCACCTAACAAATGTTCACTACTGAAATGCCAGAAGACTTTTTTTTCAGCTAAACTTTTGCTTGTATATTTTTTAATTACACTAGAGATAGAAATATCTTGTTTAAATGAACATTTGTAGAAAGTATTGTTAAATTGAACTTGGTTTTAGTGCTGAAATGTTGATGTACTCTTAGTGTTCTGTATTTTTCACACTAGTTGACAAGAAGTGACTAATGCAGTATTTATAGTTGTTAAGGGTTAACATTATTTTTTTTACATTTATATGTGGCTTCAATGTATTTCTTACTTGCCTTGGCAGAAGAATGAAATCACTGACTGCTTGCTCCTAATTAAAATGGAACACCATAAAGTGAAAGTTTTCAGTACATTGTTAATTACTAATCAGAGACAGAGTACTTTTTCCTGATATAGATTTTTATTTTTCCTTTTAAAAATAAGCATAGCCCTTTCTTTCTTCTTTCCACTAAAACATCCCCCAACCATTCAGCCAGTCCTAAATAAATAGAAGATCATGTTAGGCCAAACAGGTGTAGTAAAACCTTAAAATTTGGAAATGAAGTGCTCAGAAATTTAACAAATAGTAGAGCTCAGTAAGGATTTGCCTTTCTATTTATGCTCTATCATAAAGACTTTAATTATATGATCTTATAATAATCTCGTGTCTTGGGAAAGTTATTTCAGAACCTGTTAAGGTCTGACATTAATGCTGATTAACTGTCCTCTTTTAACTTCAGGTGTGGGTAATCTTTTTCCAGAATAAAATTAGATATTAAAATTAACAGGAATATGGAATTAACAGGAATACTTGATTAGATTTAATCAGGGATAGCTAGAAACCATTAGTTAGTGTTTGTACCTCTCAGATACAGATTTAAATTTCTTAAAGGAACAGAGGTATAGTGACAATGTACTGTTGCAACTCATGCAGTCTGGAATGGAAGCTGCAGAGACATTTTGATGGTTAAGAAAGTACAGATACTACTGACAGATGTACATGCCATTTATTTTAAGAGGTTTTATCTCATTCAGAACATAATTTCTTTAAATGAGAATTCATTCTGCAAAATGAAAAGGAATTTTATAGTTTTTTACATAGCCCTACCCTACTTGGATGGGAGACACAGAAAGGTAGTTATAATGCAATTGCAGAGGACCAGTATTAAGACTGGTCAAGATACTCTATCAGCTCTGATTTTGCAGGGTTTTAAAAATATATGGCATATGGGTATTTTGTTTGATAAAAATGATTGATCAGATGTATAAAATATAAAATATAGGACAGGATCTTAGATTACCTTCAGCTTGGCTATAAACTTGATGTCTTGGGCAAACATCGCAGTCTAAAAGATGGAAATATAGAACTTTGCACCATTTTTTTTGGTGTGGATACTTCTGTGGTACTGGCTGTACTATGTTAGGAACCTTCATCCTTGCACAATGTAACTTGCATTTTGTGTACTTGAGAGCAAAGTGAACAGAATAGGTTAGTTAACATCAGTAACATGGCTTCCTTGGGATACTTTCTGAGTCTGCTTTGGGGTTTTGATTTCAACTATGATTTTGCAAAAATACACCTTTGAGATGTGACTGTGGATGCTTAGTTCACTTTCCTGAGAGGCAGCAGAATCCTCAGACCATGAAGAGTATTAAAATATTTAAGTTGCATTGGTACAATTTCCATAGAAAAACTTGGACAAACTTTACCTGTAACCCGGAGTTTAAAGTGCTTAATTAAAAGGTTCTGACCTTTTAAGGGAAGTCATAGTTTATAAATTTCTCTTGGACTGGCAAAAGCAGAAATTAAACAGCTCTATGAAATTTGAAGATCTTGCTGTATAGGTCTGAGACTACAAAGGGCATAAAAGGAAAATGACTGAGAAGTCATACAGTTGTGCTTATGGCAGCCATTGTTCATTTACCTTTCAAGTTATTTACATACCAAAAACATTTTAATTCAACTTTACTGAAAATGGTTTTTTGAAGTCTTAGACCCATTTCTATACATTTGTTTCCATGAGAGAAGGTTGACTGTATAGATGATATCCCTGCTGAATATTTTAATTGGACTTTTCAATGTCCTGATTTCAATTGGAGTTTAAATGTTCTGGTTT